TTCGGCCCCCACAGGCGGTGGCCACACCACTGTCTTCTCTGCTTCTCAGTCCTCAGGCCTGGTGCACACACCCTGCGTTTCTCAAGCTGTAGCCCAGGACTCAAACTGCACAGTCAGCCATGGGGGATCCAGCGGCATTAACCACCACGCCATGGGCTGACTTTTTTTTTTTTTCATGACACAGTCTCACTGTCACATTCCTCCTGCTATAGCCTCCCATGTACCTGAGACCACGGGCCACTGTGCCATGCCTAGCCTTAAGGTGGGCCAGGAGCCCTGGGCCTCACACGTGGCCGCAGCCTATCAAGCAGCAGCGACAACCAGTATACACTACCGTGTGGGGCTGGCCTATGCTTTCCTTTTTTTTATGTAGAATTTTTTTTCCCCATGAAACGAAATTTAGGGCAGTGGGAAATAATTTTAATCAAAGAATTGTACATTTTCTTCCCACATTACTACACTTTTCTGAGACAAAGCAATTTTATACTTGTAAGACCATCAGCTGGTTCAGACAGTATGTGAAGACAAAGTCTCCCTTACCCTTTAATCGGAAAATGAGGCTGCACTCATGCTTTGCATACGCCTGGACGAATGACACGAAAGCTCGCATGCCCTTTTCAAACACAGCTCTGTCAGTCAGGGCCATGGACTTGAGCTTGGGCAGGAGGTCGACTGTGTGTTTCTGGAGTTTCATCTCCTGGAGGGGACACTGTACAGAGACCAACACTCTCACCCTCTGGCCAACGCTGCCTCATTCCCAAGGCTCCTGCATCACAGCCAGTGCCAATACAACCAAAGGCAAAACAATTCACTTTCCACTTAGGTCGGAGGCCTAAAGCCCAAATCCCAGAGTATTATATTTTACGTGGTCCAGTCCGTATTTTAAATTTTGAAAAGAAAGTTTTGAGATCAGATTTCACACGGTGACCTGACCTGATAGCACTGGGCCCCCCCTCTGCACTAGCGACTCTGCCTCAGTGTCGGTGTCCACACCGACGTCAGCAGCCCAGCCCTGGGAGTCTGCGACTCATCTAAGGTTCTGACCACAGCTACCCGTCACTGCTGTTCTACCCGGAGAGAGAAGGCCGCTTACTTTCTGGTTAATTGCGAGGAAACTGACGTATGACTCTTCCATGGGCAGGAGGAACACCAGAGCGCTGCCTCCATGGCCGATGCGGGCAGTGCGGCCGCAGCGATGCACGAAGGCACTGAGGACACAGGGTGATGGTGAGCAAAGTACAGGCTCCAAGATGCCAAGGCACAGAGCATCCGTAGACTCTGCAACTCGGCCCAACTCAGCCCTTACCAGTGAGAAGACCTGGCAATTCTGCTACCGTTGCGCAGCAATGCTACTGTGAGACATTTAATGTGAATTCCAAGAAAAAGTTTTCTAATTGCCAGAGGGCACATGTGCTCACCAGAGGTAGGGAGAAAGCACCCCCCCAGTGGGGCGTGGCCAAGCCCACAACACCTTCTTTATCCTATCAGGATTTGGTGCACACACAAGCACCTGCCTGGCATGTTTTTAAAGCCACTGGGATTCGAACTGTGTAGCTAGCCATGTGGGATCTGGCCCCCCTAACCACTATACCACAGGGCCAGCCTCAAACTTTTTAAACTTAACATCTTTATCGTACAGGTCAGACAAGGTCCCAGTACAAAATTTAGGAAACAAAACTATGAGTCATCTTCAGAAAGGTCATAGAAAATGCTTATTATGGAGACCAGCAGTTGGCGTAATGGCTGTTGCTGGACTCCCATGTAGCCGACCGTGGTCTGAGGCCCACACCCGGTGGCTTAACCTCACACCGGGTGCGTGTGCATGCATGCCCAAGATCCTGAGAGGATAGAGAAGGGATTGTGGCGTGGCCATCCTCCCTGGGGGGTGACTTCTAGCTTTCTGTCTGTCTGTCTCTGCGAGCCCACACGCCCTAGAGCGAAAACCTCTCAAAAAAAAGAGAGGAAAGGATTATTATGAAGAATTATGCATGGATATCAAACTTTCCCTGTACCAGTAAACTCACACTTAAACTCCATTTTTCAAAAAAGAAAATTTAAGTCCTTTATCAAAAAGAATAAAATAAAAATGACCTGTAATAGTGGAAGTAACTACTGTCATCACGTGGCGTTTATATTTATAGGCATTTTCCTATGTTTTCTATATTTCTAAATGTTTCTGAACATTGGGGAAAGTAACTGCTGTTTTGTACGTAGTGTTACGTATTTTCTCACTTAAACATCCTATCCTGAGGGTCTCGGCAAGGACTTGGGGTATTTGAAAATGGCTTTAACTGCTGCGGTACACCCTGATATATCACTGCTGACACAGCGAAGGTCAGTCACCCCCCTGCCAACCTTAGCTACGTAAAGCAATATTCTGATGAATGTCACTACCTGTCTCTCTTCCTCAGGACACAACAGATTTCTAGACAGAGAGGCTGACGGTCAATCACACAGTACCTGGCGCTGCTGGGAGGGTCGTACTGCAGCACCCAGTTCACTTCAGGAATATCGATTCCTCGGGCCATCACATCGGTGCACACTAAAATCCCGCTAGAAAGGAGAAAACAGGATCCTCAGGAAGGAGGTTGCCGTCTTTTTCACCATCACAGTTACGGACCCCGGCCATGACACTGTCTGCGGTCACAGAGGAGCTTCTCATAGGAGCCAACACCTAGTAACGGTAATACTTTGATTCCTTTCTTCTGCTTACGAATGTACAAGACTGTACTAATTCCCAGTGAAAATGGGGTTGGGGGAAGACAGTGAAAGAATTTTTTAAATTAATATTTGAAAAACACAACTGCAGCTGTCTAATCCTTGGCAGACATTGGAGAGAACTGTGCTCTTCGTTCCATGACTGAAGTACAACACTGGGTGTTTGGACGTGGCTGCTCCACGGTTTAGAAAACAGGGGACACACAAACAGAATCAATCTATGGCCATGGAGCAGGGATGGCCTCCCTGTGTACGGGCACCTGACGACCCTTCCACCCACCGGGCGCAGGGAGTACTCTTTTCTGCTCCGTGCATCCGACTGACTGAAGCAATCAAACCCTGCCCCTAGGGGGCAGCATGCGGCATGGTGGTTAAGGGCATTGTCTCCCACATGGCCAACTGCGATTCGAGTCCCGAACCTGGCAGCTTACTTTCTCACTTTCCTCTCTCTCACTCATCCCCTCTCTGGTCAAATTAAAAATAAATAAATAAATAAAGTTAAAAAAATAATTATTAAAAAAAGAAAAAAAGAAAAACCCTCCCCTAGTCTGGGCACAGGGAAATCCCGAGTGAGCACCGTGCCAGCTTCCTGTCTCCCCCAGCCAGCAGGAAAGTCTGTAATTAAGGACGGGGCGCAGCCGAGTGTGAAGGGGCAAGAAGAGAGGTGTGGGGGTGGAGAGCTCTCACACAGAATATGTTTGTACACACGAGTGTGCAACCGGGTAGAGAAGGAAATGGTTCAAGTAAAGAAACACACATGCTCGGGTCTACAGGCAAAGGGGGAACCGATGAGCTTGGGGACCTGCAACAGCGAAGGGGGCCAGAGAGCCGCTGTCTCCTACAGGGCCAACGCACCTCTGCAACTTGCGGAAGTCCATGAAGATCTTGTTGCGCTTGTCCTTCATCTTCCCGTGAATGCACATGGTCGTCACACCCTTCACCAGGGCCTCCAGGGCCTTGCCATAGTACTCCACGCAGGCGCAGGTGCTGCCGGTGGGGACACGGGCTTAGGGACGTTGGCCCTGGTCCTTTACAACTGTGGGGAAGGTGGCAGCGAGCGAAGCCCGGGAGAATGGAGGGCGACAGCTACAAGTGTCACCCAGAACTCTCACTGCGAAACCCTCAGCCAAAAGGGGGCCAGTCTCTTAACAAATGCCTTAACCATGAGTTAGAATGCCGTGGTTGTAGTCCCACTATCTGACGGCATTCGAGCCAAGGGAACGCGCTGGCCCCAGGGAAGGAATTAAACCGATGAAGTCATTCGGAACAAAAACAAGGGCCTGGGCCTGCCGCCGTGGTGCAGCGACAACGCGCTGCTGCAGCTGGGCCAACACAGCTGCCTACGGAGGAGAGGGAAACTCAGACCGACCGCACACATGTTCCCACCCGCCTGCAGACCCAGGACGAAACCCCACGGCGGGAGGCGGGGGCCCCTCCCAGCCCTCCTTCCTCCCCCGCCTCCACCGCGGCAGCTGGGAGCACCACACACTCGTGGCCCTGCCTCGCACGAGGTGTGGGGCCGCCTCGGGGCCACTTTGGGCCCAGAGCTGGATTCGCGGCACAGTCAGTCAGGACAGAGGGCTCTGACGAAGCGTTTTGCTTCTTTGACTGAAAGGGACGGAGCTGGCTAATACTTCCCAGCACTTCCTGGCCCCCTTTCCTCCTCTGTGTGCCTTCAGTGCGACAGGACGGGGCGTCGTGGCTGTCATCTGGAAACCGAGATGACATACAGGAGGGAAAGGCCACGACAGTCATAGAAAACACCTTTCCTATCACGAGGAGACGCTGAACCGATGTCAGACACTGCCGGACTTTGACTTCTTTTTAAAGGAGGAAAACAGACCCCTTGTGTGAGCCATGAAGTCAGACTTTCGGTTGTCTGCAGCTGAAAACATTGAAAGAGCCATCCTAGGTGGAATTCAAAACTCGAGGGCCACGGTCTGGGTGTGGCCAAATCTCTAAAACCCCAAGTCGGAGTCCAGAAGAATTACCTGAAGAAGACCAGGTGTTTCTCCTGCTTATGATTTCGAAGAAAATGTACCAGCTGATTAAATTTCTCGTCGGCCTTACATACCTACAACACAGTAAGGAAAACTAGTAAGATAAAAACGTATTTTTAGGAACAGCTATTTTTAGTTTCAGCCTTAGATTTTTATGGAATCTAATTTCTTCTAGACATAGGACAGACTAAGTCGGGACAACCATCAGTCGAACTGGCTTGGGGTAAAGGGCAATGCCTACTGCCGACTGCCAACAGCTGCGGACTGCCGACACCTGCCTCAGTGGGACATGGTTCACCTGACATGATCGTCTAACGCGACAGTTCCCAAGCCCGATACACAGACAGGTACCATGCCAGCTGTAACACCCGCCCCAGGGCGGTGTTAAAATGTACATTCTTGGGCTGAGCATACAGATTCTGATCCCACAGATCTAGGACTGGACCCAAGAACGCCTATACTTCGAAGTTTCCCAGGAGGCGGCACGGAGGTTAAGGTGGCTGGATCCCACGTGGCTGACTGCGTGTCTGAGTTCCAGACCTGGCAGCTTGAAAACCACCTCTGTCTCTCTCTGGTGAGCACAGGAGCCCTATGGAAAAGCTGGGGGAAAATGTGGTCCTTGTGGGTGGGAAAGTCAGAGACACTGTCCTTGAGGACTGGTTAAAACACGTGTATGCCCCGTGCCTCACTCACTCATTCGGCAAGTGCAGCCCCCGCCAGACTGCTGCCCTGGCTCTGCCCCCAGCTGTACCTCAGTGTGCCATGAGGTCTCGTCTCGTAGTTGCTCCCCTAAGCGATGGCATGCAAGTCCCTAAGGCACTCAGCATTTTGTCCCCCAAGTTTTGCTATGGGGCACATGCATTTACCAGAGACACAGAGAGAAAGTGAAAAATCAGCCTAGGAGGAACGACCTCTTCACAATCCCCTCTTCCCCACTCTCCTCTCAGAACTCTGGGCACACATGCACAGCCTGTTTTTCCACACTCGGCCACGTGGGACCTAGCACCTTACCCTCCACACACTGGCTGGCCCACACCGGACATTCCTACAGAACCACAGGACGGAGCCAGCGGAACAGCCAGGCGCTCACCATGTAGAAGTTCTCCAGGCGGGAGGGGGTCTTCTGGGTGCTGCTGGCTGCCACGCCCTTCTCCTTCACTGAGATCCGGACAGGGTTCCGGAGGCCTGCTCTCACCAAGTTCTCCACTTCCTGTGTCTGTGTGGCGGAGAAAAGGCCCGTCCTCCTCTGCTTTGGCAAGAACTCCAGTATGGTGTTGATGCTGAATAAAGAAAGCTCACAGGTAACCCTCCGCCAGCCCGCACACGGTGTCACGGTACTCGACAGGCACCGAGAAAGGGCGGAAAGAAGCCATCCAGATGTCTACAGCAGGGATCACTGGGGGTGAGGGACGGGCTGCTTCTGTGTCCTGTTTATAGTTTATGCACCTTTACAATGGGGGCAGCTAAAGGAACAGTGAATTAACGCAAAGCTTTTTAGAATAAAAACCACTGAACTGGACACTTTAAATGAGGGAATGACATGATATGTGAATATATCCCAACAAGGCTGTTTACTAAAAAGCAACCACCGCCACTGAAAACGAACCCAAAGAAACCATGAAGGAAAATGCACTTTAAGAAGAATAAAGAGGGGACCAGCAGGTGGCGTGGTGGTTAAGGTGCTGGACCCTCCCACATGACCACCCATGATTTGAGTCCCAGACCTAGTGGCTTATTTTCTCACTTTCCCTCTCTCTCTCTATGTCTCTGTCTGGTCAAATTGAAATAAATGAATGAATAAATCGAATTTTTAAAAGAAGAAGAAGAAAGATAGAACAGGAATTAAAACTGCGTGGTGGAGGGTGCAGGCTCCAACTACTCAGTGACCTGAAATTCAGACGTGGTTATAGAAACACTGAGTCATGATGTGATGAAGGGATCCTGAAATCTGGACGTGGTTATAGAAACACCGAGTCATGACACGAAGAAGGAATACTGTCTGCTTTCCTTCCCTACTGGAATGGGCCTCCCGCACAAAGCCCGTGAAGTCCGAGCCAGTACCTTGCCTCAAAGCCCATGTCCAGAAGTCTGTCAGCTTCGTCCAGCACCAGGACTTCCAGGGACCTCATGCAGCTGGCCAAGTCCACACCCTCAGCCTTCCTACGGAACATGTCCTCCAAGCGGCCTGGAGTCGCCACGATGATGTTCCCGCTATGGGAAGGAAATGAACACTTACAGCACTCTGGATTCAGCTCTCCAAAGAACTTTTTCCCCCTCCTCTCTCATAAGCAAGGAAACAAACAAAATCCCACCAAGTTTCAAATTCCTCCCAAGCCCTAGTGAAGACAAAGATGACCACAGGAATAAGACAGAGCGGCATGGAAGGAAGAGCCAGGGCAGCAGAGGCAGGCCTGGTCCTGGCTAAGGCCTGGGGCAGGGCAGTCATCCACCTGTTGCCTGCTACGACTTTCACACTGCACCAGTCGCTGAGTAAATGCCAGAGGCCGTATGGCCCACAAAATACAGGGCCTGAAATAGCCACCATCTGGTCCTTCACAGAAAAAGGCAGCCAACCCCTCACCACTGCGCAAGACCTTAGGTTCCGGGGCGCCCGTCTGTAGGATGAGCATGTTGGTCGAATCGTATGCAGAATGTCACATAGTGGCAGATGGAGGGCCAGGCGTGGCCCACACAGACCGGCTGACATGCAGGGTGGTTTTGGGAACTGGGTTACAAGCCAATGGTTTAAAAATCAGGAGATGACACACACACATCTGGAATTCCACCTTCTTTTTTAAAAATGCACAACCTGAGGCCAGCAGGTGGCATAGCAGTTATGTCACTGGACTCCCACAGAGTCGATCACAGTTCGAGTCCCGGACCCGGTGGTTTAAAACTCGTGGTTTAAAACTCACGTCGGGTGCATGTATGTGTGTGCCCACCCAAGATCCTGGGAGGAAAATGGAGGAGAAGGGATTGCAGCGTGGCCATTCCCCCTGGGGAATGATTTCTCACTTTCCGTCTCACTGGCTCTGTCTCTGTCTCTGTCTCTCTGTCAAGTGTGCACGCCTTAAGGCAAAAACCTCTTAAAACAAACAAACAAACAAACAAAAAGCACGACCTGGCAATACTGAGCCTGGAGTCCTGCCAGGTACCTACTAGTGAGAGAAGAGTACTGAGCAAAACCCAGCCTGCTCCTCAATCCTCCCCAGTCCCCCAGCTCATTCACATCGCCCTGCCGGCCCCAGCAGGAACCCACATTCATGAAAAGCCTTCTGGGAAGGAGCCGGCACAGCGAACTAGGAGGCTGCGCAGAGAGAACGTCTCTTTGGTGAGGTACTGCTCAGGTCCTACTCTGGGTCTGCTCGGGCTCAGTGCCAGGAGTGGGCACAGCAAGAAGGGGCACACTCACCCCTGCTGCTTAAACTTCTCCACATCTTCTCCAGGGTTCCGGCCTCCAATCCACAGGATCTGGCTAAAATGAGGAGACCGATGTCTAAGCCAGGGGGGCAAAACCGCAGGGGGGCAAAACCACAGCCAGCAGGGCCACTGCACCCCACAAACCTGAGCTGCGGGAAGTGCTTGGTGAAATGCGACAGGACCTCGTCTATCTGGATGGCCAGCTCTCGGGTGGGAGTGATGACTACGGCTCCGACCTGCCCACAGGGAGGCAAAGGACAGGTGAGCAGAGTGAGGGGGCAGCCCGCACCTCGGCTCACAGGACAGGCCCAGAGAAACAGCGCCTCGGGGCGTTCTGAGCAGCACCCCACAGCACACAGCACTCAGCCGACCCTGGAGCAGCTCAGGTGTGACCTGCTCAGGCCCACTCACAGATTCTGGTCAACAGAAACGTAAGAAAATGTTTTGAAGACTTGTAACAATTTTAAAAACGTCACAGTCGAGAGAGATGTAAATAAACATAAAGATGCAGCTTTAAACTACAGCTGCGTAAGGACCAGCAACTTAGCACAGTGGTTAAAGTACTACACAGGGGAGCCAAATCTCATGTGACTGACCAGGGTTCAAGTCTCCCAGGGGCTGGAAAAACTCATTAGTCACGTGCACATGTGCCCAGGATCCTGCAGATCCTGAGAACTGTAGGAAAAAGGGCCGCAGAGCGCCAAGCCCCACTGGGGGTGCTCTCTTTCTCTCTAACCTTCCCCCATCTCACTCACGTACATGTACATGTCCCCTGGCATAAAAAATAAACAGGTGGGACCAGCAGGTGGCGAAATGGCTATGTCGCTGGACTCGCATGTAGTCGACCGCGGTTTGAGTCCCAGACCTGGTAGCTTAAACTCATGCCAGGCACGCATGCGTGCATGCCCAAGATCCCAAGAGGAGAATGAAGGAGAAGGGATTGCAGCGTGGCCATCCCTCGTGGTAAGTGATTTCTCACTTTCTGTCTATCTTTCTGGCAAGCGCACATGCCCTATAGCAAAAACTTCTCCAAAATAAACAAACAAACAAACAAATAATAAACAAGCAAGGGCCAGCAAGTGGTGTGGTGGCTAAGGTACTGGACTCCCATATGACCAACTATGGTTCGAGTCCCAGACCTGGTGGCTTGCTTTCTCACTTTCCCTCCCTCTCTCTCTCTCTCTCTGTCTCTCTCTGGTGAGCACACATGCTCTATAGCAAATTTAAAAATAAAAAATAAAATTCCAAAAAAAAAAAGTAAAAAAGGTCACCCCAGGTAACTCTCTTTTTTTTTTTGAGAGATTTTCACTGCAGGGCGCGTGCGCTCGCCAGACAGACAGAGAGAGACATAGAGACAGAAAGCGAGAAATCACCCCCCAGGGGGGATGGTCACACCGCAATCCCTTCTCCTCCATTCTCCTCTCGGGATCTTGGGCACGCACGCACACGCACCCGGCGTGAGTTTTAAGCCACCGGGTCCGGGACACGAACCGCGGTCGACTACGTAGGAGTCCAGCGACATAGCCATTACGCTAACTGCTGGTTCCCAACCCCAGGTAACTCTCATATTTAAAAAAATCATAACTGTAGTGACCGGCAAGTGGCAAGGTACTTAAGTGCACTGGACTCCCACGTGGCCAACCAGGATTTGAGTTCCAGACCTGGCAACTTACTAACACTGAAATAACACCGTAAAATTTCGGTAATGATTTACTCATTAAGGTATAGGCCAGGCTATCATAAAGCACTCTTACTGCTGCTTCTTCATTACCAATGCATCAGTTATACCCGGCAATACGCAGGAATTCCTTTTTCACATTCTGTTTTCACTTTCAATGTCTAGTATTAGTGGCACCTACCTGTGGTTTGTGTAAGGCACTATTACACAACAGTAATAGTGTGTAACCATTCATCTTGTAAACGAGGAACCTAAACTTACGATATCAATAAATGTATCTTCTCCTCATTATACCGCACTCCCTTCTCGATTCTCCTCTCAGGATTCTGGCATGCACACACACATGCCCAGTGTGTTTTTCAAGCCACTGGGTCTGGGACTGGAACTGCTGAGTCAGCCATGTGGGATCCAGCCGCCTTACCACGCCACCAGCTGACCCCTTGATCAGCTTCTTCTAGTCTAAATGCTCCAGTGACTAGGTGAAAACAGATCATTCAAGCTATCCTCACCTGGTTCTTTTTTAACTTCTCTTCCCTTTTCAGAAGAATTTCCAGGATGGGGATGACAAAAGCCAGTGTTTTGCCACTGCCTGTGACCTGCGGGAGGAGAAGGCTTTAGCATGCTTTTCCTCACGTCCATCTGAAGGAAGACGCGAGACAAGCTGTGTTTACACGAGGTACTCACCGCTTCTGCAGCCACGTCTTTGTTCCTCATGAACAGGGGGATGGTTGCGGACTAGAGAGAGAGAGAGAGAGAGAGAGAGAGCAAGGCACCGGTTAGAGAATGCTGGGAACTCACAGGCAAGACCAAAGCCCTAGGAACACACAGGAGCTCAGGTCGTAGCAGATCCTCTGTGTGAGGGGATGCCGAGACTGAGGCACCGCAGACGGATACTCCAACAAGCCAACGGTGTCCACACAGATGTGGTGCAGGGGCACACGAGTCCTCAACTACAGTCCTGCCTCTCTGGACCAGGAAGAAGTTAAAGACACTGCATTCTCAGTTTGTTTGTTTGTTATAAATCTGTTTATTTATTTGTCATGAGAAAAGCAAGTCCCCTCAGAAGGGTCTCAGGCAGTGATCCACCCCTCAGCCTGCCCAGCCAGCCAGGATAACAGGCCTGAGTACACGCCCAGCACACGTGGTCAACCAGGAACTGTGTCCACGGGCTCCAGCATCACGAGCAGTGCTCCTGCTCCGCTGCCAAGGCCGGCTGCCACCCTGAGTTTCATTCTCTATTCACGACAGAGTGGAGAACCCTGCACTGCTGTCCAGTTCACAGAATACAAACCACGTAAGTGACTATAAATTTTCTGGTGGTGGGACCAGCAGTTGGCGCAATGGCTATGTCGCTGGACTTCCATGTAGCCGACGGCAGTTCGAGTCCCGGACCCGGTGGCTTGAACTTACGCCGGGCGCATATGCATACGTGCCCAAGATCCCAAGAGGAGAATGGAGGAGAAGGGATTGTGGCGTGGCCATCCCCCCAGGGAGTGACTTCTCACTTTCTGTCTCTGTCTTTCTGGCGAGCGCATGCACCCTATAGCAAAAACCTCTCATTAAGAAGAGTAACAAGATCCAGTCTTGGTGGTACAGCTATGAGCTGCATGCTGGAAGTCATATCGCTAGCTGTGGCATTTGGACCCCACTCAACCTGGAGCACACAGGGTGTGTGGGGGTGCCCAAGAGCCTAAGGAGCTGAAGGGCTAAGCAAAGGCAGCCACATGATCAGACCCTGTCCAGAAAACCTGTCTCCCTCTTTTAAGTGTGTACATCCTATTTTTAAAAAAATACTTAAAAAAAGAACCAGATGAAATATATTTTAATAATGTATTTTATTCAACCAATCTATCCAAAATATTATCACTTCAACTTAATTTAAACGGTATTTAAAAATTGGGCCAGCAGGTGGCATGGGGGTTAAAGCACTGAATTCCCACATGGCCAGTTTCATGGTTTGAGTCATGGATCCAGTGGCTTGGGAATCACGTGGGGGCACATGTAAGTGCGTGCCCAAAATCCCAAGAGGAGAGTGGAAGAGAAAAGACTGTGGCAGGGCCATCTCCTCTGTGGGTGTGTGGGGGGTGATTTCTCATTTTCCTTTGCTATTTCTTCCAGTGAGGGCACGTATCCTATAGCAAAAGGTATAAAAATAATAAATACATTTATGAGGGTCAGTTTTGTGGCCTGGTGGTTGAAGCTCCCATATCCCAAGTGGCCAAACAGGTAGTTCAAGTCCCAGACCCAGTGGCTTAAGAAACACATTGGGAGCATGTGCACGCATCCCCCAAATAAGGGGAAATGAAGAGGGACTGTGGTGTGACCATCCCCATGGAAGGTGCTTCCTCCTCTCCCTCTCTGTTTCTCTGGTGAGCACACATGCACTGTAGCAAAAAATAAAAATAAAAAAAGTAATAAGCTATTGAATATTTTTCCTTCCTTTTTCTGACGGAGTCTTCAGAATCTAACGTGTTATTTTACACTTACAGGTACACACCTCGCTGCGACCACCATGTCTCAGGTGCTCAGGGTCCAGCGATTAAAAATCGCCCGACGGACCACAGCCGCGATGAACCGGACAGCACAGCGCTCCCCGGCAGGGTACGCAGCCCTCCCCGCCTCCTCCCCATCCTTCCGGGGATCTCACGGATGTCTCACACTCAACGTTTTAAACAGAACTCTCAGAATTTTCCCTCTGAAACCTGCAGCCCCTCCAAGCCTACCTCATCCCGCACCTGGTTTCTGGGAACCCAAACCTGAGTCCAGCCCTCAGTGACCCACAGCTACGGGGCTGGGACTTCGCCACACCCGCTGCGCCCGCCGTCACCTCTCATCTGTCAGTGGCCTCCCAGCTGACCTCTGCTGCTTCTCAGACCTCCGAAGTTCGTGCTCTACGCAGCGACCACACGGCCTGCTTCCATGGCTTCCCGCACGTTCCGAATCAAACCCCAGTTCCTCGAAGACGTGCGCGAGCAGCTCTGCTTTGCTCAACTCCGGACGCTCGGCGCGGAAGGCCGCCGTTCTGCGGGGAGCTCACGTCCTGCCAGGCCCAGGGCCCCTGCAGCGGCCTCCGC